GCCATTCATCTAAGCAAATTCATAAAAAAAGCCCTATTCATCAAAATATTAAATGTCAAAGACTAACTGCCAAAGTAAATTCTGTAGGAAACCCAATGACCATGAAAAACTCGCTATGTTTTGTGTTGTCCACATATAATTCACTGACAATATAAAAGACTGACAGTGTTTGTAATTATTTAGATAAAATACTCAATACACAAATTTACGTTTTCTATATCTCACACCTCTATGAAAGCATTTAGAATATGAAATGGATACAGGTTTTTTAGCTATCTTTGAAAAAAAAGATTGAAAAAAATGTTTGCTCTATGCGAAACATCAACAGAAGGAAACGGACAAAAGGATCCTTCGCCTAGTCGCCAGATGATAGCAATGGGGCTGGTCCTGGCTTAACTCAGTCGCTGAAACACCATCAGTTCAGGAGTGAGTTGCAAATTACACATGAATTTCTCGATACATTTTGTTACTGGAAAATGCAACAGATTTTTTCCTCAGCTTATTATAGAAATAAAAAGCCAGGAATCTATTGCACACAGAAAAATTTGAGATGGGACCAGGTGAGCAGGGAAGGGGGAGGGAAGGGGAAAGCCTCTCAGGAAAGAGAGGGACAAAGATTTGAGGAAGGGTCTTATGATTTTAAGTGTTCTCTGACCCATCCTTGTTGGCCGGGAACCTACAGGTAAGATGTTCCCATTGGTCGCCTCTTAACCAGCTAGGAAATGGGTGGGCAATGCTTGTGCCACCCACATAAAGGTATGGCCAAGACCTCAGCAGGCCTGGATGGTTTCACATTTCAATATATCCAATATATCCTTTCTCCACATTTTCCTTCAAATATCTTCTGGAACAAAATCTGGGCAGGAAAGAATGCAGCTTCGGCTAGTAATCCACATGTATTCTTAAATATTGGCTCTATGCGTCAAGTCCATCGCTGCTGGACAGCAAACAGCGGTGGAATGAGTAACTATTACTATTAACAAAACATGCTCTACACACTTTACACAAACTCACCCTTGGGCAATCTGACTACTAGCCTAGTGGCTAAAAAGACCTAAAAAGGGAAGAAGCTGCATTACCACCTACAAGGGGAATAGCACTATAAATGGTAAACACAGAGGTGACCAAAGTTACATTTTTAAAATATTTGCTGTAAAGCTATCACATGTAGGGCTAGTGCTACCCTAGGGACAGTGCCATGAGACATGGGTCCAGCCCTTAGGGAACGCAAGCCCCTTGCAGAGGAAAACAACATTAAATGCTTGAACAGACTCCAAGTGCAGAGATGGAAGACAATCATCAGGATGATCCCAAGTTGAAAGTAGCAAAAATACTCCATTTAAAAAATAACCTTCCCATTCAGCAACCTGTTTAAGGCCTTGGAACGCCACACCCGCATGGGAGACCTGGAAGAGGCTCCTGGCTTCAGATCAGCACAGCTCCAGTCGCTGGGGCCACTTGGGGAGTGAATCATTGGATGGAAGATCTTACTCTCTCTGCATCTGACTTACCCAACTAGACTAAGTGCTAACACATAATGTATCCAATTTTCTAAATTTGGAATGAGTATCACAATCTTAGAACCATGCACCCATTCAATGACTCAACTAGGTTCCATAAGGCCAAGCTCTCCTGCCACTCAGGTAAGAGAAAATGGCATCCTGTCACTGGCAAAAACAGCTAGGCAGAGGAAGCAATGCCAACTCGGCTGATAAATGGTTTTGTGACCACAGGCTTCAGTTCTCATACCTAAGGTCTCTCTTCTGCTGGCTTATGCTCCAAGTACATGTAACATCCAGATGGCCCAGAAAACTCAACCAGGATCTCCTGTGAAGGCGTCAGGAGCCTAAGCATTTGAGCAACCACCTGCTGCCTCCAACAGCAAGGCCTGGAATGGACAAGAGCCACGTCTCAAACCCAGAAACTCAATATGGAGTGCTGAGCAGCGATAGCTTAACCTGCTGTGCCAAAGCTCGTCCTAGCCTCAGTTCACATTAACCAAGGAAACAACACAATCTGCACTAACACTGTGAGTGTTACGGGCCTGGCGTGGTAGCCTAGTCACTAAAATCCTTATGCTGCATGCATCAGGATCCCTAATGGGCACTGTTTTATATTCCAGCTGCTCCACTTCCCTTCCAGCTCCCTGCTTGCGACTTTCAGATTAACTAAGCTCCAATGACTGCAGCCACCTGAGGAGTGAACCAGCAGATCAAAGTTCTGTCTCTCCTCTATGTAAATCTGACTTTCCAACAAAAATAAACAAATTTTGGGGCCCAGAGCAGTGACCTATTGGCTAAGGTCCTAGCCTTGAATGCGCCAGTTCTAGTCCCTGCAGCTCCACTTCCCTTCCGGCTCCCTGCTGGAGGCCTGGGAACGCAGTTGAGGACGGCCCAAAGCCTTGGGACCCTGCATTTGTGTGGAAAACCTGGAAGAAGTTCCTGGCTCCTGGCTTCAGATTGGCACAGCACTGGCCATTGTGCTCACTTGGGGGTGAATCATTGGATGGAAGACCTTCCTTTCTATCTCTCCTCCTCTCTGTATATCTGACTTTGAAATGAAAATAAAAATAAATCTTAAAAAAAAAGTTGCTATGACTGCTTTTGCTTTTTGTTCACCAGGTTGATGGTTCTTCCAGAGCCTTGAGTATACCTTCCCACATCAAGGAAAAAAGATAACTTTTAGAGATAGCCAAAAGCTACCAGCATGCTTTAAAAGATAACTGATCCTCCATTTATTTGTGCTAGGAAAGCAGCAAATGGTGAAAATGTGCACAAAAGAATGCTTTCCTTGTCCTTGACAAACAAATGAACTTTTACCCAAGGTGGCAGGAGCCGACCTATCAGCTGCGCATCACCTCAGACACATCTAAGCAGTGGCACTGCTTGTACTGCTTCTCTATGGTAATGAAATCTGCAGGCTCACATATGCAAATGCTTAGGAAACACCTTTTAGGTTACCAGGCCAGCCCTTCAAGATTCAAAGGGTAAACAGTAAGAGAATGAAAATGTAAACTCTTTCAGATTGATATTGTGTCAATGGGTAGTGATGTCTACACATCACAGCGATACAGAAATCTGTCTGAGGTTTTAAGACTATTATAGTACAGGATATTTCTGAAGAATATACACTGAAATACAAGCATGTTACTGCTGTATATCATTATTATTTACTACCACAAATCAGAAAGGAAACTCTAACCATTACTTAGTTTACTGTCTGTCATTACTTAACAATCAGTGTGCTGGCCAGCAAAGGCAAGTTAACAAGAAGCTTCCTCTGTATACTGACTACTAGGTCCTTGCCAAGGCACTACACAGGGCTAGTGTCCTGCAGCTGTGTTGTCCAGAATCCAGTGTTAGCACTTGGTAAGAAGTCATTTACTATAGCCGAGTGTGCCTCAAGTCACTGTCGCCCTACGTCACATTTGGCTTAGTCATAATATCCACTTCAAACGACTTAACAATTCATTACGCAAACAGCAAATCCATGAGATGAAATGAAACCTCTTATCAAAAAATCATCATATTTATTAACCAGAGTAGCCCCTGTTCAATGTCACAAATGAGAAACCACAGGAATTCTGGACATAAAGAAAGACCCCTGGCTTCAAATGAGCTTGTGGGTGTAGTTCTCATTGCAAAGCTAAACACACTACATGTATAAACCTCAGGAAAAACCATTTTGCTAGACAGTCTTTCTAAATAGCAAGATCTTAACGCATTTACCACTGTCCCCCACACATTCTGACTCCATCAACAGCCTGCAAGACCATAGCCTTCTGAATCATTCATGCCAAGCTGTGCATCACTTCTGAGGGGCCAGGAACTTCCCTAGCAGCCACCAACATTCAAGTTCACCGGTGATCTAACAGTATCCCTCTGGCACTCTCCTTTCAAAAAATCAGACCACTTTAAATCTTTCATACGTTGAATCTCCCCGCCCTCCGATTTGACGCACTGATTACAATACGCCTGAAGAGACCACGGCCTGCTAAGTCTAAGCTAGTTTTCATTATTTCCAAAGCTAGAAGCACCAAATACGGCCTCAAGACCACACTTTTCAAAGTGTGCCTAAAATGTAGTCATGCAGTTTTGGAAAAGAGCAGCCATTCTAACACTCTTCTGCTTCAAAGATTTCCTCACTCAACAAGGCCCACAAACCATGTGAAGAAAGGCAGGCTTGCACTTGAGTTCAGCCAAGTAAAAAGTTAAATAATCCCAGATTCTCTACAGCAAGCAGCCACCACCCAGGGGAGCAGATTGTGGATGTCCAGGGAAGCCCAGCACTGATGCCACTATTTGGTTCTAAACAATACATGAGGACCATATAAAACCCGGGGGGGGGGGGCAGGCGACTCTCGGGGATACTTCTTTGTGGTCTTCACACAGATAAACTTAAGCTAAGACCCGAGCTGATGGCCTTCTCAACTCAAGAATCTTACCCACCAACCTTCCTGTAGGATCCAACACCATTATCCATTGTCTGTCTTTTTGGTTTTCTGTCACTCCCTTATTAAAAGCTTTGTATTTGTAATCTCTGCCAGTTTTCTGGGTGTTAATTAGGATCTTAATAAGGTGCTGACAGCCTCACCTTACAACTGACACCTTACACTGCTATGCACTCACATATATACTAACTTAGCAATCTGGGAAGACTCTCACTGTGTAACAATTTCATCTCTTGATCTTCTACGCTCAGGTTTACATGGTTGAATCTCAATTCCTGAGTTTCCAGTACTTGTCCTCACCACTGCGATCTCCCCTCATTTTGCTATCCCTGGTTTACTCGTACTGCGCCTCTAAATCCACCCATCGTTTCTCCGCAGCACAGATTGTGTTCCCATCACATGAACCCCCTTGCTATTCTCTTTACACCAAAAGTCTACCAAAACGGAATTCACAAGCCATTTAAGAAAGCAAACAAACCAAAACAGAACAAATACTTTATCAATATTTAAAAGCTCTCTAAAGAAAATAACCACACTAAAGAAAATAACATAAGCCAGCAAACTGCAAAAACATTTTGTGTAACGAATCCTGAACTCAGCAATGACATAGGTTAATACAAATAGAGCAAAATAAGGAGATATGAATGTGGAACAGACATATAAAAAGAAATCCAACACTATTAATGAGCAGTCGTACTTAAATGCAAAACAGAATAGAAATGAAGCCCAACCACATACCTACTAACCAGTTAAAATTTAAGTTAAACATTTAATTATGAAATTTGCCAGGATGAAGAACTTAATAATACAATGCTGGTAGAAAAACAACAATACAATATTTAGAAAAAACTGTTCGGTAGTTTTCATAAGCATACAACTTAATCATACGACCCCATAATCTTAATTGATGGTTACAAAAATTGGTATTAAACTAAAAACCTGTAAACTGAACAGCCTACTTTCTAACACCTGTTAAATGTATAAGCATACGTTCTACAGTGGAGTAGTATTACACAGCAATAAACACAGAACATATGGACACATACAAGGTACATGAAATCTCCAGGACATTATTAAATCAAAGAAGCCAGACACAAAAGTACTGAACATAGTATGGTTCCATTTTTACGATCTTCTGGAAAAATGAAAAGAATAGGCAGCAACTGCCAAGCACATGGTTAAGTAAGTGACTGTCATTAGCTGTAAAGAGACACACATCAACCTTCAGGAGTGACAAAAATATCCCAGTTGTGATTAAAACAGTATGTGTTTTTGTCACACTCAATCAAGGTGTAAATCTAAACAGGTACAGTTTATGATACACAAATTAAAACAGAAAGTTAAAAACTATGTGAGCCGCATGCCTTGGCTTGCAATGCTGTTAGTCACCTGAGAAATCCTGTCTGTTCAAGGCTAATAGTGACTGCTTGAAGTCCAACCAAGTACAAGTCCTTCTTAGAACATTATTACCTTGTTACCAAACCAAAAAGTTGCAAAAGGCTCCCGAGAATGCAACTGTGGAATTCTGGGGGAAATTTTGCATATAGAACATTCAGCTTTGCTTAAAGTACTGTTAGGTAAACTGACACACAGCAGCTGGTTAAAGAGCTTTAAGTTTATCCTACACTCAGTAAGGCTTCACAACCTCTGATGACTTACAGTTTGCTATTTCCATCCTTCCCGTGGCAGCTGCAAGGGTGTGAAATTTTAAGACTTACCTAATTTTGTTTCTCCTGATTTCCGATAGCACTTTTGTACCATACACATCATACCTTCCTTTACAGTTTTGCAAAATTTTCTTAAAAATCCCAAACAGATTTTCAATCTGCGATTTACCAATCTATCTTTATGCCTCACAATGCTCTTCAGAACTAGTACTTAATAAAACAGGTCACTGTGCTTTGAGAATTTCTAGAGAAGTATGGCAGAAGAGCAGCACCAACAAGTAAACACGGTCATTAAGGAGAAATGATTTTTAAAAATTATCAAATTATATAAATGTGACAATTACTTACAAATAAAGACTGTACAATACATAGCATCCTTTTAAAATCCTAAGAAACTTGCCGAAGATATGCAACTCCCATTTTTTGGTTAAACTTAGCATATAATGAATGATATGGTTATAGGGTGCTTCAAATACCCTTAACAATTAATAGTACTTTAGAAAGTTCACAAAATGTGAAAACAAGTTGCCACAAAATAGCCATGGTTATCCTAGGAAAATTACAAGTCCCATAAATTGGTTTCAAGTTCTCTCGGGGATCATTAAAAACTCCCGAGACTAGGAAACAACACTTGTATTTTCCTGAACATAAAGAGAAGTTGCAAAATTCAAATCAACTGCACCTCACAAACCAAATTGAACTTATTTCTAACCAATGGTAAAAACTGTATTCGAAAACAATGTATAGGCTAATTTCTTACTTTAAGAATTCCAAGACTAAGAAATATAAGATATTACTACTGAGCCAACAATGAGTTACATTTTAATATGTGATGAAGACTCCAAAGATTAACACAGTGCAAGTCTGTAAAAATTTTTTCTCAAGACTTACTCACAAAGACTGAAACTTCAACACTTCCGTTAAAAAAAAAAAAAAATCACCAGGAGCCCAAATGCATCCAATGCAAACAAGGCGGGTCCAGGAAGGCCTAGGGAAGAGGCTGCTCGGCCCCAGTCATCAACCAGTGGATTTAAACAGAAACCACTAATTATAGAGACGCAGTGACAGCTTAGCATTTAACAGAATTAAGACTCAGGAGACAATGAAAGATTTTTCTTAAATACCCAAGCCAAATGATGGCCATTAAAATTCTAGGTATTTTATGACTAATAAATGCTCTATATAAAGTGGGGTCGTAGAATAGGTGTGGTATTTTGGATTCTAACTAATAATTCTCCATTTTTCTCCAGGTCAGTGGGTTCTTGGTTGACTTTCCTCACGTCATATTCAAAGCAAAATGCAACATTCTAAGGAATGATTTTAAAAAGGAGAATTAATATTTTCTAAGTATTATTATAGAAGAAATTTTGAAATGTCATGTTTTTCTACCCAACAAAGCGAATTACTTGATGGTCCTTATCATGCGTGAAATTTTAGCAACTCTGATGTTCAGCTGTCAAATTTATTAGAATAAAGGCACTAGAGAACAGCTTTAAAGTCCATACCCTTGTCAACAGCAGCAATTGGAAAAAACCCCCCAGATCTGATCCAATATTGGGAGAACGCCCAGCCTGCTCTGATTCCATGTGGACATTCCCAAAGTACAATCATTTACAAGATGAACATCATTTACAATTACAATAAACTCTGCAAACTCTCAAACTCTGCATATGCATATATTCTATTTTCCTCCAAATATTTCTTCAACCCTAGCACAAATCTACCCTTTTATAACACTTAAAAAAAAACCTTTTTAAAGTGGAGATGGGGAAAGAGTCCAGACATTTTCTCGCACATTTATCATTCAATTGAAAAAAGTAATCTAGCATAAAACTAAAATGGGTCTTACTAAATACAACATTTTTGGTTCCAAAGGCGTTATCCTATCTACCATTACAGAGAATGGAAAGTCAAATTCACATTTTAACATATTATATGATAAAACATATGCAGGAGGACAACTCCCAACACTAAAAATTTAGTAAAGCTGATTTAAACCTACACAGTATTATTCCTTCTTATCTAATACGAATAAAAGCATTTAGAAACTAACATGCTTAAAATGTGTGTCTATAAGCATGATACGATTTCATAAAAATATTGCAAAAAGATAACAAATGACCAACCTTAAGAACTGACAGTCAAGAGCACCCACCCTACTCAATAGCATGTATCAGAGGATCCGATTTCAAATGAACACTACATACTTTACAATGCTCTAATATTGTTTCAATGACTACTTTTCTGAGGCGCATTCTGCAGAGACAACTAAATGTGTCACAAAAGCATAATTTTAAGGGGGGGGAAAAATCCTGCACTGGGAAAGAGAAGCAGCTAAGCATAAGAAACTACAAAGATAGCAGGGGCTTTAACCAACATTAGTATAAATAGACTTTATTGAAGTCAGTGCCTCTGTACGGAGACAGGAGATTGTGTCTACATAAGCACAAGTTGTAACGTTTCACAACTTCTAAAAGGAATGTCAACAATTACAACGATCATGCATACCATGGTCGATAATCACATTTTAGAAGCATTTTCAACCATTTCTAAAGAAATGCTTGTAACATTGTTATATATAGAACTACTTTCAATAAACTGCAAAAACATTGATCGACTTTTCCAGTATGAGCTACAGTGTCAACACAAAAGGGAGGCATAAATGTTTAATTTATGAAATCAGAATGGAATATTTACTGTAAAGAAAAATTAAAAAGCTTTCAAATAAAGGCCATTATGGAACCAACGTGAAGAGCACAACTTGAACTTTTCAGTTCATTCATTTAAAGCTGTCCTCTGCATAACTTCAGTTCTGAGCATTGGATTCAGTACTGTGAATATTCCTTGGACTGAAGTTTGGCAATGATGCGATCCAACTGTCTCTTTGCTTCACACTGAGGGAAATTGCTCATGTCATAATATTGAGGGGCAATTTTCACCAACCTGTCCAGAGGGGGAAAATGACTACATTAACATTGATTGAAAGTACTAGAGTTGCTTATAAAAGGATAAGCAATATTCATAACACAAAGTTTGCCTATAAAATACTTCAATGACTTAAAAAAAACAAAAAGCCTAATCATTTCAAAGCCCAGTTTTAAAAATGTGTTAGTTTACCAAAATGTGTATTTTTGATAGGCTTACCACTACTTTAAAAAAAGAGAAATTATCTAGTATCAATTTACATTCTTTAAGAACCATTTCTTTACATTAATGTTACCATTAACTTCTTCACTGTAGTTTCTCATGTTCTTCTGACCTATCTAGCCAAGTTCGCCCTAGGATCCATATACGAAATCTCTTGGTATTTGAATAGATATCTTTTACTTAATGTTTTAATAAGTGTAACTATAATGTGTTATCGAGATTTTCTCATAGCATTTAGCATTTTTCCTAATCCAAGGTAAAATGATAATTTGCCATCCAATTTAAATGTCAATCAAACATCAACAAATCAGTATATGAAAAAGGCCCACAATATATAGCAAGTGACAACACCTAAAATAAGTGGCTTTAGTTTTACCTTCTTGTCATTTGGGATCACAATGATGAACCATATTAAAATTTCTTTAAAAAAATAGGTGAAGGGCCCGGCGTGGTGGCGCAAGTGGTTAAGGTCCTCGCCTAGCACGCCTGGGATCCCATATGGGCGCCGGTTCTAATCCCGGCAGCCCCGCTTCCCTTCCAGCTCCCTGCCTGTGGCCCGGGAAAGCAGTCAAGGACGGCCCAAAGCTTTGGGACCCTGCACCTGCGTGGGAGACCCGGAAGAGGCTCCTGGCTTTGGATCGGCATAGCATCGGCCCGTTGCGCTCACTTGGGGAGTGAAACATTGGATGGAAGATCTTCCTCTCTGTCTCTCCTCTCTGTATATCTGCCTTTCCAATGAAAAAATAATAAAAATAAATCTTTAAAAAAAAATAAATAAAAAAATAGGCGAAAAAAAAGGAAGTAAAAATTACTTGGCTTTATCAGTTCTAAAACATTGTGAGAAAGATACAGTAATAATTTTTATGCCTAACTCCTGAATCAGTCATCAACATATATAAGTATCCTTTCTTAAAAAGATGGATGTTGTAAACCATACCATTCAGGCCAATTCTCGACACCAGCTCAGCAACGCTACAACTGAGCAAAATATCCGTAAGATATTAGAGCAAAAGGTGTGCTTACCACTCTGGCTTAATGTCTGTGCATGTCCGGATGTAATTCTTTGTTGTCAGGACAAACTCATTATAAAGCACCCATTCGGGCTTGTGGTCGAGAACAGTAGATGGATGCAACTGGACCACCTGGTTGTCTTTCACAGTTAAGTAATGCCCTGTTCGTTCTAAATGCGCCACCTGAAATCAAAACCCAGGACAGTTAATACAATGCCTCAGCTACACAATGTTAACAAGACAAAAACAGGATAAAGCAACTCATGTAATTATAGACAGACATGTTCTACGTTTTGTTGAATCTTCAATGGCTATATTGAAGCAGTGTCCAAAACCTGGAAACTACAGCATCTGCACCCAATCTAACTAACTAAAAGCCTGTATTTTCAAATCCATGACCCAGGAATGAGTGAAACATATCTAAAAGAATATATAATAGAGTACATATAGTGAACTACAAAAATTGTATGAAACCCAAACCTCAGGCAGTGCATAAGGGAAGTTTTACTGGGACATCACACATGTTTATTCATCTCTAGCGGCTGTCAGGCGGTGGAGTTGAGTAGCTGTGACAAGAGCCTATTGTGTCCACAGAGCCTCATGGTTACTGTCTCATTATTTCTCCCTGAGACTATCTAGAACAGGTCATTCAGTGCCAGGTAACATGGAGTGGACAAACAACTATTGGGAAGATTCATGTTTAAAGTTTAAAGCTAAAAAGAGGAAAACGAGAAAAGTAACCCTACTAAGAATGGCGAGAAAAGCTGTACAGACATCCATATTTTCCCACCCTGACTAGTGACATGCATCACTCCACTAATACATAACTTACACTGAAGCAGATAACAATTTTTTCTATAATGTTATAGGAGCAAAGTGCAAAAATCAGAAAATATAACAAAGAATTTACTATTTACCAAAAACGTATTAAGTTTGAGGCACCATACTGCATGCTACTGCCACAACTATTCATCTAGAAAAAAATTAGAAAGCTACGAAATGCTTGAAAAAAAGTCAATCTGCAGTTATTTTTTGATAATTAAAAGCAAATTTAAGATCAAGTAAAGCAACTAGTCAGTATATAAATTCTGTAAGATGCCACAAATTATTCTTACCATAACTGGTCACTTATTTTGAACTACAGTACTTCTGTATTAAATATTCTATCCACTAACTGGATCTGGCATTATAACTAATCATGACTGGTGACATTTTGTTCCACAAAGTCAAGAAGAGAGGAAAGTATAGAAGAAACAGTATAGCAGCTAGTGCTATAGCTCAACAGCTAATCCTCCACCTGCACGTTGCAGCATCCCATCTGGGCACAGGATTGCATGACAGCTACTCCACCGCCTATGCTGCTGCTTACATATCATTTGGGAAAGTAGTGGAGGATGGCCAAAGCCTTGGAAGACTGCACCTGCGTAGGAGACCCAGATGTTCCTGGCTTTGGATCAGGTTAGCTCTGGCTTTCAGAGCCATTTAGGGTGAACCAAAGGATGAAGATACTTGTCTATCCTTTTCTTTAACACTACCTCTCTCCATAAATCTGCCTTGCAGTAACAAATAAAACCGAAAACAAAACAAAAATCCAGTGCTGATCACATTTCAGGTAATGGAATGTTTCCAACTTTATCTCCATAAAATTCTGGGTTTTTTTTTGCCAAACATAATTTCTGCTTCAAACCCTTTAAAATAAGTGTTTACAATATTTGTTATGTTTCACTCTAAGTTTCTATAGTTCCTAATACAGCTAACCAAAAACATCAATGATCCTTCAGTAGAACTCTAAGTCTAGCTGTCTGCACCACTTGAGCATCCAATGTGCTGGAAGAGCACAACTGGTCTAGGTACCTGGACTTGTGGAATAGAGTCCAGACCGCTGGCTTCTCAAGCTACGGCAAACTTCTGGGGATCTGTGCCTTTCAAATGAATTAACTACAATCGCTTTTGTAAAAGGACAGTACATACTATCAAATACTATCCTCTGAACAATAAGGAACAATTAATCACTACAAAATAAATTGCTTAAAAAAAATGACCCTAAGGATACGGGGCAGGCCTGGTGAGGGTTATTGTGGGTCGCTCTGACTGGGTTGCAGCTCCCACTGATTTATGTGAGGGCCAACTGTGTGCTGGGCAGAGTCAGGCTGGACTGCAACACCCATTGGTTCCAGTGGAAGTCGTGGCTGAAAACAAAACCAAACCAGCAGTTGCAACAACCACAAGCTGATTGGGGTGATGGACTGTGCCGGGCGCTGTACTTGCTAGTACATACAAAAATCTGGTCTGGGAATACCTCAAAGTTTCTTTGGGGATCTCCTCAATCAAACTGTTGGACTCAGAACCCTAACCAGGAAAAGACAGAGGACAGAACAAGTCAATCAACCAACTCAGCTATATGTTGGCAGTGAAAAACTGGGCAAACGGAGACTCTAACATGGACTATGGGTGCTTGGAGTGGTGAGATTGGCAGAATCATAACTGTTGAACTATCAAAACCACTTGAGCAAGACTCTTGGAGCATGCCCCACATCAGGGACCTTGGGGTAGGTGGGAGACTGGCTGCCGCGTCTCCCTTAATATCCCCCTTAACCTCAGATACATGAAGGAAACAATATGGAAATCAGTTTTACCCACTTTCCTGTAGCCCTTGAGCCTTTTGACCCTAATTAACTATGTAAAGATTGTCCAAAAAAAACACAAAAAAACAAAGATGACCGTGGCCTGTTATGGTAGCTTAGTGGCTAAATTAGTGGCTAAAGAACCATTCCTCTCATCTGCCATGCTTCCATATGCATGCTGGCTCATGCCCTTGATACTCTGTTTCCCATCCAGCCCAAAGCCGTGGGACCCTGCACCCACAACAGTGCCACCGGAAGAAGCTCCAGGCTCCTGGCTCCCAGCTTTGGATCGGCTAGGTTCTGGCCGTTACAACCATTTGCAGAACAAACCAGCAGATGAAAGATCTCTTTGTAAATCTGACGTTCGAAATAAAAAAAAAAAATACAAATCTTAAAAAAGAAAAGTGACCCTAAAATTCATTCCTACTTAAGTTGACTTCAAATTCTGCCATGGGAAGCAATATTTGGAGTGACTATTTGGTGCAGCAGTTAAGATGCTCATATTCCATATTGGAGCATCCCCTGCTTTGGATCCCAGACTTCTAGTAAGCCACAACTAGAGGTTACAGGTCATGGTTCAAGTTCATGGTCCAGCATAGCCTAGACTTAGCTACTGCAGGCATTTGGAAAATATGGTGGAAACTCTCTACCTCTTTCACTTTCAAATAAAAATGAATTTTATAAAATAGTAAGAACTGGATGAAACATTTTACATAATCTTTCATAGTGTGTAAACTTTTCTGTTTAAACAGACATAAATCAACCAATATCATTTGAACATTTCATGATGTGTTCCTGTATTATCCACATACCTGCATAAAATACCCAGTAACCAAAGCTTTTCTTATATTAATATAATAGTCCCTGCTTGTAAAATCAGTACTTCGACGAGGCAAATTAAACCTGTCCATAATTCGTGATAGCTGCTGGCGTACATTGTCTGCGGACATCAGGGACCTGTAGTTAATGAAGTTGTCGTAACACCACTGAACCGATTCGTGATCTAAAAAGTTAAAGAGGGAGGAAAAATGGTCATGAATCATCCACACAGCAATATTTTCTAATCAGGAAAAAAAACTACCACAAAAATAAGTTGAATAATTCATAAAGTAGATTTACTCAAAATTTTCCCAGAGAACTACAATGTTATGCCTATATTCCTAAAAGTCACTAGGTAATACTTTCAAGGTTCTTGACTACAAAAGACAGCAAATCAGTGACTTTAACTAAACATGCTTTAATGAAATCAGCAGATCATGAATGAAAACATTCTTTAATGAAATCAGCAGAGGATGACCCAAGGCCTTGGGACCCTGAACTTGCATGGGAGAGCCAGAAAAAGCTCCTGGGTTTGGTTTGGTTCAATTCTTGCTGTTACAGCTACTTAAGAAGTGAACCAGCAGATGAAAGATCTTTCTTCCTCTCTGTAAATCTGAATTTCCAATATAAATAAATATTTCTTTAAAAAAAAGAGAGAGAGAGAGAAGCATATAGAACAGGCGTAAAACAAGAGTGCCCTACTATGGCTCTGACAATCAAAAGCATTTACTAGGAAATTATCCTATCTAGTGAGTAGATGTCACCATTCAGTTAGGCCACTTATTCCTATTAGCATAGGACGAGGCTTTTACGGATGTCTGCTTAATCAGAAAGTATATAAAGAGCAAGCATTGTGTAGCCATTTTGCCATCCTAAATACTAAATTCCAATTACATATTTTCATACATTTACTACTCTAAAATATTAGCAATATTAAATTTCATCTTCAAAGTACAATTTTGAAATTCAAATATACTGCTATATTTCTAATCAAAAATGTAAGTGAAAAAAACTAGTCTTCTGAAAATAATATGTAATATCTTAAGAATTATAGTGTGAACAATTGTACTGTTAAATCCATATCTGTTATCACTTAAAACATTCTGCTGATATCAAAGGAAATTTTAAGAAGAAGGGTAGAGTTTGCCCAAGGCCATCAGGAAGGTGTTTTACATCAGTTGTTACTAGGTAATGTATGTTCTGGTCACTCAGCATCAGACTTATCACTCAACAACAATAGTTCTCCCTGCGGTGAAAAAGCTTTCGTACTAGGAGCATAAACAGACTTTCCTGAGACTACAATGAATTACAAATACCTGAAGAGATGCCAAAACTTGAACATAAATAAGCTTAACTTCTAACAAGTAAAAGTAAAAAAGTTACAGAGAAAATGAGACTCACAAATATAGGATAGGATGATTAATCTCTGAATAAAGTTCATCATTAGCTTAGCCTACATATATGCAGAAACGAAACCTTTGTCCACCCTGGCATACCCACATCTATATTTTTTCATCCCCTAAGTTTTTATTCTCTCAATTTTTATCAATAAGACATTCTAAAAAAGTAGCAATGACACAGTAATTATGTTTTCTAATTTTCAAATCATTATCTAACTTTCTGTAGATCACTAAATACAATGATCTACAGCTAGAATATATCTTGTTCTGTGCCCACAACAGAACTTACGGAAAACTCTTTATTGTTGGGTACTGAGGTACTATCCTGTAATTGTGCAGCAGAAATCTTTAATCAAAACTGTACCCAAAGAACAAAATACATACATATACACACACATATAACTTCACACTATTTCTGAACGGGTATAAAGCTGATCTAGGTGTTCTTGTTGGTAATGTAAAATCTGCTTTTCATAGCAACCGTATCAGTTTAAGGTGCTACCTCCTGTTTAATATTGTTCTTCTAATAGCTCTTACAGAGTTCAGAAATACTTTTCTTTAATCCTTAGCCAATATTATAGTTAATAAAATGATACCTTTCAATAATGCTATTTCCTGGACCAAAAGGAAAGCAAATTAGTCCTAATACCCATATTTTCAGGCCACTTGCAGCCTAAGAATTATCCAGATCTAATACCAAGTTTTCGTATTTTAAACCTGTATTTTAAAGTAAAACTATTTAAAAATGATTATACAATCACATTTAAAATATGAAAACTGTATACAAATAAAACTCAGGCGTAAGCCTAGCAAAATTTGTATTTTGGTGGTAATTTTAAAGAAGCCTTTATTTTTTATCGCCCTGTTATTTTCCAAGTTTTTTATAATCAGTGCTTTCCCCTTTGATTATAAACTATGAAAAAGATTGGCAATTTCTAATTTAAATTCTAGTCAGGATTTTTTCTGAAGCACCTCTGAGATTCTAATGCAAAGTTGTCATGGATAACAAATGAAAGCGAGATGAAAAAACAACTTATATGCTGCTTGTGACATTTAGATAAAAGAGTGCCTTCAATCTAATTTATACTTACTTTGTTTAAATGCATGGTAGACATTAAGCAGTGTCAGATGATCTCCATCTATGTGGGCAAATCTCATCTTGGCCTCATCAGCAGCTTTCTTGGCTTCCGTGGGGCGAACAAAACACTGTGGGACTAAACAAGGTTGGTATGGGCCCAACACAAACGCCCATATCGATGAGTCACGCATTCACAGACAGAGGAACAAGGCCTAGCTAGGTCAGTTCACAGAGCATAGGGCAGGGCAGGATGGCCTCCAACTGCATCGTGCACAGTTTACTACCTTGATTTGGTACATCAACACCTAACCACATCTGGAAGACAAGAGGGTTTCAAAGCTACAGAGTACCTGATGATTTTAACTAAATCTAAAAAAGGCATCAAAACAGCTATTTTGAAGGCCATCAAGAGACTAGGAAGCTCAACTTATTTCAAAAACCAGTGCTGATAGCTCTACCAATAAGTAAAATCACAGCATCAACAGCTAATGCTAAATTTTTACTCATCCATCATATCCACTCAATGGCTGTCCCATAGCAGGGCTAAATAAAATTTTTCAACCCATCTACTGTCACATTTCTATTAGAATTTTTTTCTCTTAAGGCTCTGGCTGTTAACACCTGGTAGGTATCACTATTAGCACCGGTGAGCAGAACCATATGTAAACATAAAGATATAAAGAAATCTTGCATTTTATAGAGAGCAGTAGTGGTGGAAGGTTAAAAACCGCCTTTGAATTAATAAAATTCAAAAAGGCTTCGTGGGATAAAAGGCTACTATTTCAATACTGTAAAAAGTCCCAAGCTAAAAAGAATTATTTAATTCAAAGCCTAATATCAAATCAATCCAGTCTTAAAAAGCTTGACAATTAGTCTGAAACAGTCATTAATGCAAGGATGGACAAAATACACAGCTACAGGAATTGTTTCAGAGCCTTGCTAGTGATTCACATGATACTTCTTAGTTATTACAAAGTACGTACTACACTTTTTATAATACAACTTTCCTTAATTCATTTAGCCATTCCATTGTCATAAAAGCAATATGAAAACAAAAATACTTAAACAGCTTGGGACTTTCTGAACACATTTTAAAGCTCCTAAAACCTTGTCAATGAAAAAATCATAAATTATCAGTTCAGATAGAAGATAATGGGAATAATTGACAAAGAAATCAAATACAGTATCCAATTACTCTGTCATACAGTTTCCCCTTTAAAATGATGCCAAGAACAACAGAACATGATCACAGTGGATAGTAAAAGTCTTGCTTAACGTAACTGAAGCAAGGTAGTTCATCAAAGTACAGAAGCTTCTCACAGCTGTGTTACTGACAACTAGCCAGCAGAGTTGAGAGTATAAGCAAGCAGCACTCCAGAGGGCCTCTGATTTGCATGTTATATCAGGACCTCGAAACTTCAGTAAACAATTTAAAGGAAAACAATGCGTTATAAGCCCAGTAAGCTGTCTTTTTGTTTCATGACATTTTCCTCAACCCTTTTTGAACATTTTCCCACAATGGCCCGTTTAAAAACTGTGGCACCTAAATGATTCTCCTGATGTGATAAAGCGGATCACCTGTAAACTTTCTCTTCCCTAACTTCTCATACAAATAAGATGAAGATGTAGTTGAAAATTCCAACTTCACACAAAAGTAAATTTTATAAAGAACTAATATTCTAAACTCAAAGATAATTTCCTAGTATATTTCATAAGAGCACCAAGAGGAATAAAAACTGGGCAGGTAATAAGTAAATGCGTTAACAAACTGTTAACTCTTGCCCCACAGTTTCTAAACCACTCATCTTGGGAGAATCTACAAGACTAAGAAAGGCAGACAACAACCTACCACCACCTCTGCAAATGAAAACTATAATTTAATTAAAATGTTTATCGATACTGCCCTGCCCATCTGCTCTGAGTCTGATCAATCATAACTCTGTAAGAAAACATTGTAGCTAATTGTTTAAACAATTTACACCAGTAGAATGTTTTAAATCTGCACTAACCACAATGATGTACTTAGAAAATTTTCATGTATCCTTTGATTATACTGAAGACTGTGAATTGCTTATAGCAATTAAGACCAATAAACCACTTTGGAATTGGAACAAGTTAGTTCTCTTCTGTTGTACAACTAGTAGTACAGAATATTTTGATGAACAGGAAAAACTTTTTAGTTCTTACCAAGAATCATTTTTTGAAAAAGCTAATTTCTAAATTACTATTCATTTGTGGATTAAGTCAGTGCTTCTAAAGACACTTCCTTCTCTTAAATTAGCAAGTTTATCTAGATGCATTGCTTTTACTAGGTGTTTCATATCACTATACATAAAAACCACTACATCAAGACTGTATATCTTAAGTGTGAAATCATACATCACTACTTCTATTTACTTGATGCTAAATTTAAAGTCTTGTTTATCATCATCGGAATATGTCATGTATAAGTGGAAAAAAAAGACTTAAGTTAAAATTAAGCATAGCTTAAGTTTAATCACTGTCTCATTTCATAGTGCCAAGCACTAAAGCAAGCTTCATGTACTCAATAATAAACTGCCAAGACAGCACTGATGCACCTATGCCAAAGAACTCAGTTACAACCGCGTTCAACTTACTGCGATTTTTATTTGCACTTACGAGAGTCAACATTTTACTGTTTTGTGCACAATGTGGTACTTTACTTCTGGATACCCTAGTTTCATCATTAAACTATTTACAAGGCATTTAGGAAACAAAATGAGTTCCTGAAAACCAGCTATGAAATATGCTATCATACTAAATAGTAAAAAAGAAAAACAAAGGTGAAGTCCACCCAAACTTTGAAGAGCTTGGTTTTTTTTAGTTCTGTTCCCTCTATTACCTGACAACATAGCAGTAATAGATAGGACCTCATTAGAACAGTTGTAGTCACAACTTGCAATAACCATTTTAGCGAGCTGTGGATCTAGTGGAAATTCTGCCATCATGGATCCTAATTCAGTAAGATCTCCATCATCATTTAAAGCAGCCAGGTAATTCAAAAGTTCCAGGGCTCGCATCAGAGTTTCAGGAGCTAGGAGGAAAAGAATCTGTCAGACAAGTTGCCTTAAACAAGCAAAAACGTGACCAAAAAACAAATGATTATAAGCAATCTCATTTTTCTTTATTGCATGGATCAAACTCAAAATTCAAATTGTTATCAAATTCAATTACAAAGCTCTAGCAAACAATGAATCATAAAATTGCAAAATTTTCCTTAAAGTTGTCTTCTTTCTAAATATACAATTGCTAATTAATCACTGTGCTTATGAAGCTTTTTTCCCAAAGACAAACTTTAGAAGTTGATTCTTGCATTTTCCTGCCCATATGATAATTAACCTGACTTCCTTGAATAACTTTTAGAGAAAAAAGAAGGCTTATGCTGTTTAGGTGACTATCACCTTTGCTGGGTCTAACACTAACACATAATATTTACATCTTGATGATACTACAATAAATATGTAAAACATGAGCTCACTACATAGACTGAACAGGATGTAAAAAGAGGCCAGAGTAAATTTTGATTAATAAATTGGTTAAAAAAGTATACCTGGTGGATCCATAAAATCAAAATGTACCAAGTCATCAATACCCAGTTTCTTCAACTGCAACACAACTGATCCTAAATTGGAACGCAAAATCTCAGGATAAGTGTTATCCTAGGAAAGAAACAAGCAAACCAAAAAGCTTGTTATGACATTTATTAGCTTCGTTAGCATTATTTCCCCCTAAAAACAAACCAGTATCTATGTCCTGCCTCCTGAGCTGCTCACTTTAGTACAATTTCTACATCAATGTCTCTTGCAAACCAGACTAAAGAAATCAGACATCTTTCCTCAAACTATTGTTCTAAGTGTTTATGCTATCCACCTGGATCTATACACAGAGAACGGCATTATTAACTACATTATAAATCTAAGCAGTGTAAGGCTAAATGAAGTGATTCTCTTCTGATGACAAATTCACCGTAACCTTGCACACTTACTTAAAGGAAGGACAACAGTATCCCTCACCTGCATTTCTGTTTTATAGGCCTTCTCTGTGTAGAGCCTGAAGCACTTCCCAGGACGGGTTCGGCCAGCTCGCCCAGCCCTTTGCTGAGCAGAGGCTTTGCTAATCGCCGTCACTAACAGAGACTCAACTCTGATCCGAGGATTGTAGACCTATCAGAATGGAAAACAAGTTGTGAAGAGGTCCAATTTTAACCCAAGATTATGATTACACATACACCTAAAGGCACAGTGGCCACTGTAAATCAAGAGTCCATCATCCCAACCTTTCTGGTATGCTGATAGATTCAAGCGAGCAACAAAAAGCTGATCAGAGAAATGGCTAACAAATAGTTAGTCCACTAATTCACATTAACTTCATGTATACCTTGTTTTTACACCTTGCAACGCAATTCTTATATACTGGAATGGTGAAGAACTCAATGTTTGATGTTGAATGAACACGAAACCTCTCTTTAGCTTAGTCTTTAACATATCAACTGCAGGCTGACAGTTACCAGGGAAGCGTTCCATCAAAACCCTGACATGCAGACATGCAATCCTGTATCACATGGAGACATTCTGGTTCACAGCATATCACATAGACTATAGCAGTCCTGGTGAGATCCTTTGCCTGGTAATGTGACAGCCATCTTTGGTTGTGTTAAGGACGTACTATAATTTTTACAGAGAGACAAAATCCCCAAACCATGTAATAATCAGAACACCTTTCTGTTGTTAGGCAATACCACCAATCCTACAAAATGCTATGAATTTATCTCAGACATTTCAAAAACTCATCCTGACCACCATGAAAAAAATTTACTAAATATAATTTGTCTGCAATTACACATTAAACACTGTCTTCATTTCTGAAAGTCATATAAAACACAAAGGCTCCTATGGAACATACATGAAAATGAAACAAAACCGGTATTAATTTTAAGCAAATTTAAGCTATCAAATGGATGGATATCAGAAGGCCACACTTATGTATAGCTACTAATTTATATACCTTTTGTTTTGCAAATCCAGGATCTATTACAAAGACCACACCATCTATTGTCAAAGATGTCTCTGCGATGTTAGTTGACACCACTACCTGTAAACAAATACAGCTACAAGTCAGGAAAACATGACAATTTTAACACCAGGAATTTTGAATTACACACCAGGTTTGAGCTTCTATGGCCAATACTTTAAAAAAAATCTACATAGCGTTCAGTTTCAGGTAATAATCATAAATTAAAAAAAAAAAGTTCAAAACAAAATGGCAAGTGGAAAAACTCTAATTCCATTCCTGTAAGAAATGACAGCACCAAAGGGATGAAATAAAATGTTACTGCATACAAATCGTTATGAACAACAGATCTCTCATCTTCACAGCACTTACATACAAATGTAATTGCCTATGTGTAATTCCCCATGGAATTAATCCAAGGGAGGCAGGCGCACCAACAGCAGTTAAACTAGCCATACCATGAAGTCTACCTACCAAATGGATAAAACTTTCAAAGTGGGTCTTTTGATTAAATTTTTAAATTACCGAACCAGCTACCACTATGAAAGAGTGGCACTCAGATTACTAGAGGTTAAATTGTGGCAGTAATAATTTCTTCAATTTGTATTGCCTTCCTCACTAGAACTGGAGAAATAATAACTTTATTGGATAAGGACTTCAGCTAAGTCACACTGAAAATAGAAGATAATTAGGCTAACCTGGTTACATTTTCAGTCCTCAGCTCAGCAAGTGTCCAATTCAAGGCAGCTGCCTAGGAGCGTACACATTTCAGTAATATCACACCTAAGTATATGCTGACTGCACAAGATTAAGTCTTTGAAAATGTTGTAGCTTCTCCCAGGAGCCACTTCTCCTTTTCACCGAATAACAATGAACCACGTGATCGAACTATATAGTAAGAGAAAAAGACAGCTACCTGCATGAACAACTGAATAAAAACTAAATGTTTGAAATCAGAGAACCATTGAATACTAACAAAATCAGATATACAATGTTTGGGGGTTCGTGCTGTGGCACAGAGCAAAAAGCTAAAGCCTGCAACAGCAGTATGCAACATGGGTGCTGGTTTCTACTCCCCTGGGTCTACTAATTCAGCTTCCTGCTAATGTGCAGAGCACGGCCCCAGCACTCCAGCTCCTGCACTTATGTAGGAGACCTGGAACAAACTCCTGGTGCCTAGCTTTAGAGTGGTATACTCTAGCCACTGCAGGCATTTGGGGAGTGTACCAGCAGATGCAAAATATCATGCTTATCCCGCTTTCTAACTGCCTTCAAATAATTTATTTAAAAAAAGAAAAAACTCCTAAGTCACATTCAAAATATATACAAAAGACAATACATTATATTAACTGTAATACATGTAAAGAACTTCTACAGCTTATAGCTTAAAAACCAAACTTCAAAACTTGCCAAAACAGTCAAAATCATTACATGAATGCATGTACTTAATTCTCAATCTCTCCTCAGACACTTGAAATGTAACAGCATCAATAATGTTGCATAAAACTGTTCAATCAATAGGGTTACAATATCCATTTGTAAAGACAAGGCTTTTTAAGGAATGCCCCTAACAAAACCTTTATTGTACATCTTCATTTTTAAAAAAGATTTATTTTTATTGCAAAGTCAGATTTATATAAGAGAGGAGGAGAAACAGAGAAATATCTTCTGTCTGATGATTCACTCTCTAAGTGACAGCAGCAGCCAGTGCTGTACGGATTAGGAGCCAGGAGCCAGGAGCCAGGAGTTTCTTCTTGGTCTCCCAAACGGGTGCAGGGTCCCAAGGCTTTGGGCTGCCCTCTACTCTTTCCCAGGCCACACGCAGGAAGCTGGATAGAAAGTGGGACCGCCAGAATTAGAACCAGCACCCATATGGGATCCCGGCACGTTCAAGGCGAGGACCTTAGCCGCTAGGCCGTGGTGCTAGGCCCTGTAATCCTCATTTTAATACCTCAGTTCTTAAAAAAGGTACCAATTAAGTAATAGACTTGAAAAAGCACTGCACTTTACAAAAAGAATCCAAATACAAAGCTAAACAGAAATTACAACTAGATAGGATTTTTAAAAATTCCTCAAATAGTCTATTCATTCAAAAAATTAACAATTTTGTACATCGGTTCTATGGCAGTTACAATGGAACATAGCAAATAACTCAAAAATAACTATTATGCTGTATTTTCCACAATTAGATGCACACAGTGTTCCTACACGATTTTTAATCATGCCATTAGTGACGGTTACTTTTTTAAAAGGCTCCATTCTAGCAAGATATGATAGCTCTTTTGTGCCAACAGAATTGAGCCTTAGCCCTTCTAGTTTTCAAAATGTCAGCAGGATATTATAAAATTATAACATTTAAAATACAAAAAAGAGCACCTGGAAGGCTGTCCCTCATGCCCTAGTAGCAAACCTCTTTCTCCCAGAAGAGCTGGGTTCTTCTGCGCTCTAGAGCCCCCCGTCCCTGTGCATCCGACAGAGACATGGCTCCAGGCACCTCATGGTTCTATGCAAAACCCTCTTTGTCTAGTAAGCTGCCGTTCCCAGCACTGAGAATAGATGACATGTTATGCTGTATCAAAGCACTACACATTTTTAACTTCATGATTAAACATCCAAGCTCGAAGCTCTCCTCATACCTTAATATGAGGAGAAATCCTCTCCTACCTCCTTTGGGATCACCAGAAAGGTTACCAGAAGGACCGTTCCAATAGGATGAGGATGGCTCATGAAGACAAAGTGTCATTTCCCACCCTCCAGATTTAGCTGAAGCATCATGAATGGATGGCCACGCAGTGCTGTGGGCTGTAATCCAGGGGTTATAGCTTGAACCCAGAGTAGGCCTAAACCCTAGAGCCTGCTCATTCTCTGCATCAGCTGTGATCAACACTGGGGATCCAGTCACTGCCAAGTCACAATTCTCAGCAGAACAAATGTCTCAGCATCATTTTTTAGAAAGAAAAAAAAAAAAACCCAACTGCCACAAATCCAATTCTACTTCATAGGTTTTGCTACAGATTCTACAAAATGTTCTAAATTTCCAAAAAACTAATAATTAGCAAATCAAAGAGCTCAGGTGTGAAATTTTAATAAGTATAAGGACATGATCAAAATCATGCAAGAGAATGAGAACTACATGAGAAGGGTAAGTGCACATCATAGCCTGCAGAAGATGCCCAGCACCACTACAGCGGACGGAGGACAGGAGATCATTCAGCTACCCCAGCCACGTGTTGGCAGTGAAAATCTGGGCAAATGGAGCCTCTAACACGGACTATATCAGCCAGAGGATTCTAGGGACATCTCATCATGCTTGGAATTGCGAGAATGGCAGCAATTCAGAACTGCTGAACTATCAAAAACCACTTGAGCAGGACCCTCGGAGCATGTCCCACGTTGGGGACCTGGGATGGGTGGGAGGCTGGGTGGGGCTTCCCGCCCCCCCACTTACTCCAGATACCAAAAAAACCCAAAACGAACAAACAAACAAAAATAACAACAATGTGGAAACAGTGATCTTACCCACTTACCTGTAGCCCTTGACCCCATGTGTCCTAATCAACTATGTAGACTGTCAAAATAATTTACCGGAGGGGGGGTGTGTGTGGGGGTGGTGGTGGTGGTGGTGGTGGTGGTGGTGTGTGTGTGTGTGTATTTACAGCAAATTTTTAGTGTAGGTCCAAATTAACTCTATGGTAAAGAATACAACATTGGAAAATGCAGATATATAAAGCACTATGAATTCCAGACAAATCAAGCCTGCTGAAGTAAGGCATTAAATTCCTCTGTACAATTAGAAAAAAAAATTTGTATATCTCCCCCTTGATATGGAATCAAAAGTCAACAGAGTACTGAATTCCAAAATTTTATAGTGATAATATCACTTAAAACATCAAAGATCCCACTCAAAAAATTCAGAATGTAAGTATAGTAAAACGAATTTTAGCAAATTCCAGAGACAGCAATATAAATCATTTAAAATATGCCATTTTAAGAATGTGTATATACCATACTACCTATAATTCCTCAGTAACTGTCGAAAAGGACAAAAAATACAAAGTCAACATTAGCCCTAAACATAGAAAAAAAAAGCAGAGATTTCTGTTTTCACTAGCAAAGTTAAAATCAGTCAAAATATTCTTTCTGTATGAAAACTCAAGAAACATATAGGGGCTACTAAAACTACTATGCTCATACCGGATCAACATTTCCCAAATTAACCGAGACCAGAGACTAGAAATCTCACTATACATAAACATGTATAGCTGACTTCAAAGTCAAGTTGACTCCTCTGCTTTCTAAGCTTGAGAAACAATGTTATCTATTCTTCAAAAATCTAACTAGAGAACCCTTACGTCTTAAAAAATAAAAGTGAGAAGCACAACTGCTGGCACCTACATCTCTTACACTTACTGACCCCGAAATGCGTCTCAGTTTTAACCGTCTTGTTCTTGTCGCTGTGCCACACTTGCATTTCCACCCAGACTTCCAGGAAGCTCCTACCTTCAAGGAACCCACATATTTACGAAGTGAGATTAGAGATAGTCATTCAAGGTCTGGACAGTCAAAACACAACCATCACAGTGAGTACACTTGGTTAAAGCCTTAAAATTATATGCAGAAAAAAGGAAAAGCACTTGATCATCTCCCCTCTGATTAACCCTCAGTATGAACATTCCAGTTTCTGGGGACATATTATTTTTCTCTGTGCAGGCAATGGCATAGAGAAGCAGAACATATTCTTCAACTAGAGTTGGAAGAGAAGCAGAACCTGACTCACAATGTGATCCAGTTTAATAAACTCAGGTATCTCAAACAATTCTTTCACTACGAATGAAAAGTTTCTATTGTTACCTTTCTTCCAATTGCTCCATTTTGTTTTTTTGGAGGAGGAGGCTCAAAAATGCGCTGCTGCTGCTGAGGTGGAAGTGTAGAGTACAATGGAATGATCTTAATGTCACCAACCTCGGGGCCCAAATCATCCACCTCACGCTTTATTCTCTTACAGGCCTCATCAATTTCCTACAAAACACAAATTTTGAGTGTGAAAGTAAAATGCTGAGACACTTGACATTCTTCTAATAATCTTAGTTCTATGATGTTTATTTTATATATACTTATCTTTCATTTCATAACCAGCCTATTTTGAATTTATAACTCAAAATTCAATAGGATTTTCAAAAACAACCCAAGAAACTTTGATTTCTATTAGAATAAATCTGTAACTGCTGATTTGCATTATACACCCCTTTTTCCTAAAGTCAATTTCCAAATTAATTCTCAATAAATTGTACTAATAGAAATTTCTCACTCAAGAATATTTAACTATATTGATGAACTTTTCAATTCTCACAACCCAAAAGAATCGGGTATGCTAGATATTTTAAATAAGCCAATTAGGCTTTAATGTCACATATCACTAATACTATATGGAATTGTTTGCTTTATTGCGTCTAATGAGAACACACATCTCTACAATATCAACATCCATTCTTAAAAACAAGGTTAATGCAAAGAATGTTACAACACCTAAAAATTTTCCCTACCACAGAAAGCTATTTCAATGCATTTGCGCCCAAAGTGCAAGTGGAGGGAAGACAGACTAAAGGGAGAGGGCGAGGGCAGCAGCTCTGGGAGTAGATGAGCTACAGCGACCAGGTGTATTCTGTTCTAAAGCATAATTTATTCAGCACAGACTTTGGACATTCTACTAAATGTTAGTCAGTCTGATCACTGACCTAGCAAATCAGATACTATCCTCATTTACTCAAAAACAAAATGATATGAAAAGGGACAGAGACTTGGGATACTTTCAGTTAAGGTTATTCAATACTTTGTTTTATCAAACTAGAATTACTTTCAATACTATTTCAATTTGAAAAACAAACAAAAACCCTATTTTGATTCAAACCATAACTTTGTTTCTGTATCCAAAATACAAAGTTCTTAGAGATACTTTAAGAACAAATATTATTTTCAACTTTTCGAGGCATTTAATATATCTGCGTAGAAAACCATGACACAGAAAATTACTATTAAGGATTCAATAATAGTAAGATCTCAATCTCACATAAAATGAAAGTGGAATGCTGTTCATTGACATACATATCACATAGGAACAAATATTTTTTAGAACAAAAGGCTTTCAAATGCTGTATCTAGATTAGAATGCCCCCTGCTGGCACACAAGCACAAAATTATGATCCAATCAAAAGGATTTGAACATAAATACTAGAGTATAATTCCCAATACTCAAAGAATCTACAATTAACTATCACATACATGATTGGGAAATGAACAGAAGTTACTTAACATGCAGATTTCAAATACTTAAACAGAAGCATGCATTTTATCTCCTGGTTTTTTAGGATGACAATTCTAAGTTTACTTGGGACTAGAACACTCAGTGTGCTATGCATGTATGGAGGTAAAACAAAGAACAGGAGATAAAAAATGTACTCGCGTCCAAAGCTCCCACACCAGCTGTTGTTATATAAACAAAGCTAGAACTTAAAGCTCTACTAAAAAACTACCTGAAACTTACCAAACCTCCAAGAGTTCACCCTATCAGTTCAAAGTGTCACATCAACACAACACAAATAAAATAAGAAAACTTTCTAAGTGCCCATCAGCTAGTGCTACATTAGAAAAAGTTTATCATATAAATTAATATTTTAGACTTAGTACCTATGAACTCACTGCATGTTAAAAACATTTTACCAATCAAAATTGAAGGAACGTGCTGTTTAAGGAATGAAAGGTTTCAGCATCAAATTTACAAGCACTCAATTTCATGTATTTAAATAATTCATATTTCAATGACAATTGTTCTCATACTTGATTCAGTATTATAGCTTTCCTAAGAATTCCTATTAAGCAGAAACTTTCATCATAAACCCAGACTTTACACAGTAACCTAAGCAACATTCTTGAACTAAAACTCTCCACTACCTTTCACCAAGTTATTTGCCATAATTTTCCGTTTTTATTTCAAAGCAGAAAAACAGACACAGAGATCCTTTTTGGTTCAAGTCCCAAATGGTGACAAACACTGCATCACAGATGAGGTAGAAAAACCCAAGGAGCAGGGAACTCAATTTGGGTCTGCATCTGAGTGGCAGGAACCCAAGTACTCCTTGGAGCACCTTCCACTGGTGAGTTAGCACAGAGTTGAGTCAAGTAAAAGCACTGAATTCTAACCAGGCACTCTGCTTTGGAAGGCAGGCATTCCAAGTGTCAAATACCCATCTACCCCTTTCACTTACTCAGTCTAGGCTCTCCCTCACAAATGATTAACAGGTCACTGCAAATGCACCATTATTTTAAATAGCAACCAAATGGTAATATAACTGCAAAAATCAGTTTGAAAATTTGATGAGACTGCAGAGTTTCAGGGAGGGTATCCCCATTTATGAGGACAGGTTTAATCATTTCCCGTTATCTACCATTTATGAAGTTAAAATAGCAAAGCACAAAATGCAGACAATCTTTTTTTTAAAGATTTATTTATTTTTATTACAAAGTCAGATATACAGAGAGTAGGAGAGACAGAGAGGAAGATCTTCTGTCCGATGATTCACTCCGCAAGTGAGCGCAATGGCCGGTGCTGCGCTGATCCAAAGCCAGGAACCGGGAACCTCTCTCCAGGTCTCCTACAGGGGTGCAGGGTCCCAAGGCTTTGAGCCGTCCTTGACTGCTTTCCCAGGCCACAAGCAGGAAGCTAGATTGGAAGTGGAGCTGCTGGGATTAGAACCAGCGCCCATATGGGATCCTGGTGTGTTTAAGGCAAGGACTTTAACTGCTAGGCCACGCCACCAGGCCCAGAACAATCTTTCAATAAACATTCAAAATACATTTTAGCTACTCTGCAGTTATCTTCCTGTAAGTCTTCAGAATCAAGACTACATATCTCGGGCCCGGTGTGGTAGCCTAGTGGATGATGTTCTCGCCTTGAATGTGCCTGGATCCCATATGGGCGCTGGTTCTAATCCAGGGAGCTGCATTTCCCACCCAGCTCTCTGTGGAAAAGCAGTTGAGGACAGCCCAAAGCCTTGGGCCCCTGCACCCATGTGGGAATCCTAAAAGAGCTCCTGGCTCCGGTTCGGCACAGCACTGGCTGTTGCGGCCGCTTAGGGTATAAATCATCAAATGGAAGATATTTCTCTCTGTTTTTCCTCCTTTTCTATAAATATATGTGTGTGTGTGTCTGTGTATGTATGACTTTGAAATAAAAATAAATAAATCTTATTTAAAAAGACTACATATCGAAACAAAAGTACAAACCTATTAAGACAGCACTTCAGTACCATGTGAAAACAAACGGTGTACGCCTTCTTGCCCCAGCACAAGGTGTTGTTTTACTTCTGAATTAATATGCATACTTATCTGAGTCAAGAACCACTTTTACAGCCACTCATGGAGTATGCACGTTCAGGTAAGAAGCCACTGAAGCCAGGCACAGGACAAAATATCTCAACTATCTCACTGTCCAGCCTCAACAAGACAAGGACAAAAGCAAAAAGTAGGAAGTCCATACAGTTTACTTTTAATATATTTACACATATCAGCAAAACATGCTTTCACCAAAGCAAGCTCTCATTTAATCCATTGATTAAATGGATTATCTAAAAAAAGCTCCCACACTCTAGAGGAATACTATCCTGTCACTGCACTCACCTATCAATTACATCACTTATGCGTACAATCCTTTAAATATTTAAAGGAGGGTCAACATTTCACAAGGCAGTTATGCAAATAAGATGCCATGGGGCTAGTACAATGGCTCAGGGTCTAAATTTATGCTTTGCATGTGATGAGATTCCATGTGAGCACTGGTGTCCCAGCTGTTCCACTTCCCTTCCAGCTCTCTGCTTGAAGCCTGGGAAAGCAGCAAGGGCGGCACCTGTGTGGGAGACAAAGAAGCTCCTGGCTCTAGATTGGCTCAGTTCCAGCCAATCATGGAATAAACCAGGAGATGGAGGATCTTTCTGTTTCTCTGCAAATCTGCCTTTCCAAAAAAACCAAAAAGACATCATCAGGGTCACAGAATGCCCGTGCTCCTGCTAATGTGCACCTTGGAACGCAGAAAGCGATGGTTAAAGTACCTGGGTTCCTTCTACCCCAAAGCAGGAATGGAATGGGCTGGCTCAAGGAATCTACGGAGTCAATCAGTGGAAACAACAAAACAGAAAACCAAACAGGGAGGCAGCTCTGTGCTTTAGCGTGACATCGGCATCCCATTTGGGCACCAGACCCATGTGCTTGGGTACCTCACTGTCACCACCATACAAGACTCAAGATGTTCCTGGCTCCTGGCTTTAGCTGGCCCAGCTCAAATACATCTCTATTTGCTTCTCCTTCTCTCTCTCTCTCTGCAGTTTGGCCTTTCAAATAAAAGTAAAATCTTAAGAAAATAAACATATGCCATTTAAAACCAGCAAGTGGAAAAAAATAAAGCCAGACGGACATAGGAGGTGCACATGTACATCTTGTGATTCTGCAAGTGGTCTCTATAGTCTGGAAAATCCACAAAGCTCATGAGATTGAAAGAACAAAACTCATAAAAAATCCTTTATGAAACGATTTTCCACAACTGTTTTATACAAACAGCTTTCCCTGAATTCAGCCACTTTAGATTTTTAAAAAACTTTTAAATGCCCAGCTGTAAATGGGTCCAGAAATATTACACTTGGGTGACCTTATTATGTCCCAATACATGAAGTTGATACCAGCCCAGCACCTCATACAGACTGCCAGTTGGCTCTAAGTCCCAGATTCTCTGGTTCCAATTCCTCTCTCTGCTGCTGTGCCTGAGAAAGCAGTGGAAGACGTACAACATGCTTAGAAACTGCCACCCACGCTAGAGATCAGGACAAAGTTCCTGGCACTGGCTTCTGCTCGATCCAGCCTGGCACTTACAGTGACTGAGGGTGAACCAGTAGATAAATGTGACTATCTGTCACTCTATGTTTAAAAAAATTAAATACCCAAACAAAAGAAATACATTACACATGAGAATAAAATTTGGTATCTAAATATAAAGTAAATTCCAACCAGGAAATTTCACTGTTCGCTTCAGTCCTCAGTGAGCACATGCAAACAAAAAGAAACCAAGTATTCTGGTATAAGGCAGAAACAAAGTCACTCGTAAGAAAAATAACTAACTGGATGGAACAGTGTTTGATTTCATAGCAGCATTCACGCATCAGCAAAATGACATACAATGTAGGCTACACCAAACTGAGACTATAACTGCTACATCCTGCAAGTCTGAAAGTACCCCTGACACCCAAGCAAGCAATCAGCAGCAGTGTAAAAAAAAGCATTCCAAGAGTACAGGCTGACGAAAAACTTCAAACAGTAGGATTTTAAAAAGAAAGTAAGTCCAAAGTCCAAGACTGTTAATGAAGAAAACAATGACAATACCTCTTGACCAGTTAAGAAAAGTAGAAGATCTCCCTCCTCCTCCTCACACATATGAATCTGGATCACTGTTCGAATCGCTGCTTCAAGATAATCTCTCTCTGGTTCTGGAGTATAGAAGATCTCAACAGGATGTGTACGCCCCGGAATGGTTAAAAGAGGACAGTTATCGAAGTAAATCTGGAATTTTCCTGCATCTAGAGTCGCGCTCATAACTATCACCTGAAAGAAAATAGCAAATTACTTGAAATTGTCTTCAAGGGTTTTCACAGCCTTTTAAAAGAAGCCTGAACTAGAGTTCTTATTCAGTCTTAAAATTTATAAGTAAACCCAACATTCAATAAACATGTATGCTTACATTATCTCTTCACAAAACATTTTCGAAGCCAAAATTTACAAAATCTTACGTGTCCAGGAATAATATACCGGGAAGGCAATTAACGTGTAGTACTAACTGCCAATATATGTTAGAACAACTTTCCACACAGGAAAAAAAAATCAAAGAGAAAATAAAAATAACCAGTGCTACTTAAAATTCTAGGCCAAGTCAGTTTCCATTCAGCTTGCTGCTCATGCCCGTGAAATCAGTGGATGACGGCTCCAGTGCTAAGGGGCTGGTCCCCACGGGGAGGACTCCTGCACCAGTAGATGGATTTTCAGGTGCTTGCTTCATCCTTGGCCTAGGTTCAGGATTACAGCCATTTCAGTGGACCAACAGATGGATGATTAATGCATCTCCCTCACACAAATACCTTTTATAAATCTGCCTTTCAAATAATGGACATCTTTTAAAAATACATTACTAAAGAATTGGAGAAATATGCTAAACTTTAGAATAGACCCAGCAAAGTTGGCAGACAAAAACAAACACAAGGAGCAGTATTGTGGCTCAACAGGTGAAGCTGCAGCACATGGCACTGTCATTCCACAGTGGGCACTTTGCATCCAGGCTGTTTCATTTCCAGTCCAGGGCCCCGCTAACGCAGCTCAGAAGGCAGTGGAAGAGAGCCAAAGTAACTGGGTTTCCCGGCTTATTTCTGGCTATTGCAGACATCTGGGGAGTAGTTCAGCACATGAAAGATTTCTCACTATCCCTTACCTTTCAAAAAAAATTTTAAAAAAGATTTATTTTTATTGGAAAGAGGTTTTACGGAAAAGATCTTGCATCTGCTGGTTCACTCCCCAAATGACCAACAACCAGAGCTAAGCTGATCAGAAGCCAAGAGCCTCTTTCAGGTATCCCACATGAATGCAGGGTCCCAAGGCTTTGGGTTTCCCTTTTTGCCTTTGATTTAACCATAAAAACTAGTGCCCCACTTTGTGACAGAGAACTTAATGATTAAAATAATTTCACCTTTAAATCTGATCTCTGTCTTACAACTTCCTTCAGAACACCCATGAGAATATCTGTAGCCAGTGTCCTTTCATGAGCCTCATCAAGAATTATCACGCCGTAACGCTCCAGGAGGGGGTCATTCATAGCTTCACGAAGTAGCATTCCATCAGTCATATACCTACATCACAAAGAACAGTTATTTACTTTCATTTTAAAACTAAGCATGTTATAAAAATGAAAATCACCAAAAACAAATGAGCCAGTGTTCATAACTAACGAAAGATCTTTTGTAAGAGTGTGCAAACAAGTAATATTATCACATCTTGTCAAATGTTTAACACAGCGATACACTGAGAAAACCTGATGTTTGTGATTATGAATCATAATGGTTACATGAGTGACAGAAATACCAAGATAATCACTTAAACAAGCTTCTTGTAAAATTATTTCAAAAATTGGTTTTCAAACAGCAATACAAATCCCACAAACTACTCTTAACTGCTGCTACAACGTGATGGGACACAGGTGACACGTTCACTTCAGCAACACTCGGTCAGCTCTTGAGCACGTGAGCCCACCATCCCACCCCCCAGAAACAAGCCTGAAGAAGCACTGATCAAGACCCTGAGCCAAGGGGCAAGAAGCACCAACAGTACAGAAGTACCAACACATAAAAGCAAGACTCTGGGCAAAGGACATCAAGCCTATGCATGAGCCAAAAACAGAACAAAGCAAGTCTCAGGTGCGCCAGAGAGAAGGCAGCTAAGACAGAACATGGCCATCAGACCAAGAGTGGTATACACGGGTCAGTCTGCAACCCACTATGGCTGCCATCCCTAATGCAAAAACAACACTCCCTTAGTCTGGCAGTAGAACACAACACAGCATGCCTTAAGATGCTGACTGCCAACTCAGTGACTTAAAGCTGTACAAAAATATCTGAAGTCATCACTTATGATTTCACACTTTGGCTCTATGAAAAAGATTAGTCTAACCTAATCCTTCATGGACCCACTGGTATTTTTAGATAATGCCATTTGATGGAACAGTTAGTTCAGCAAAGAAGCGAATCGTTTTTATTTCATCTAAAATTAAATTTAGTAAGAGTATTGGCAAACAATCCCATCTTTACTACATTAATACTGTTTATTTGGAATCCTATCAAAAATAAAGTAGCATGTTTCTAGAGCAGATAACAGTATTAATTGCAGGGTTACTTCACATAGGAGCATGAAAGAAAAGCACTGCCAATTAAACTTTGAGTCAATAGTTAAGAAAAGTTCAGCACAGTACATGAATCAACACCACCAAGTCTAGATGCTTTGAAATTTTTTTTGATCAATGAAGAAATTTAGCAGTTTTCCCTACTTTCAGATGTATTAGTGAGAGGAGATAAATAACCTTATGTGCGCTACTATCTCAGCAGGAAGCAATAACCCACCTGTTAACTTCAACAGAACTCCTGCTGCCTTTCAAGGCAAAAAACAGGGGGTCTATAGAGTAACATTATTCTGATATATACAATTCACCATTCCATTTCTCACTCTTTCTATATACTGCTACTATTCATTTCGCCATATAACACTAGTTATTTTTTGAAAGCATTCAAAATTAGCAAATAATTTCAGTATGTGTAGACCTAACAATTAAATTATATGTATGCAGTTAGCATTTCAATTCAACTAGATCAATGAATGTGACATATTTTTAAATAAGAAAAACCTTTGAGGTTACAAATTTCGCATGAGGTCTTTCCAAATTTAGGGTAACTCCCTAATCTAACACTTCCTGCGACTACAAAAAGGAATGAGACAGAAATTCGAGAGAGTAATAGAAAGCCATGGTAACATGGAAACAGGCAGGGGTTACCACAGTTTAAGCAAAGGAGTCAGACTGTCCGCCAGCCAAGAAACAGAGACAATTATGAACGGATGTTCCAAAAGAACTTCCAGAAGGAACTCTCATCCTGTCTATCCACTGACTGTGAAATCTCTGGCCACCACAGCTGTGAGGAAAAGTTTCTTAATTGCAAACCACTAAAGAAAAGAAAAAAAGTACGTGCTGACTTGCTATACTGCTAGATGCATAAAAAACACGCACTTAACAGAAAGAAAGTACTTTAAGTCCACAAAAACCACAGCCAATTTCTCCTTCCTAAGATTTACCAAGGAGGGCCTGTCACAGTAGCCTAATGGCTAAAGTCCTCACCTTGCAACGGCAAGGATCCCACATGGGAGCTGTGGCCACTCCACTTCCCTTCCAGCTCCCTTCTTGTGATCTGGGAGAGCAGTCAAGGACGATCCAAGGCCTTGGGACCCTGTGCCCATGTGGAAATCAGGAAGCTTCTGGCTCCCAATCAGCTTAGCTCTGGCCATTGTGGCCACTTGGGAAGTGAACCAGCAGACAGAAGACCTTTCTCTCAGTAAATCTGACTTTCCAGTAAAAATAAATAAACCTTAAAAAAAGATTTACTAATAAAGTATTTACCCAGGATAAGGAATAAAGACAATAATAAGATTGTGAAGTCTAAACAATGGGTCAGAAAACAAAAGCACCAAAGAATAGCCCAACTCCCCAATTTTACTGTATTCTACCATATTATCCACAGTGTTTCCACCTGTCTGGAGACCAAGATTTACTTTAAAAAGCCATTATCATCACCCTAGGAACTGATTAGGAATACAAGATTTGCTTTTCACCCCTAATTGATTTAACCAGAAATTTCCAACGTGAGGAGAGAAATCTGTCTTCTACCAGGCTTTCTTTGTGTTTACTAAAATCTGAGGTCTGGTCCAAATTAAATTAGGAGTTTTAAGCAAAATCGAATGTGACTGTTCCATAAGTACATAAACCAAAAACCCAAGGTACACTGCATCACTTGCTGATTCCCAGTCAGCAGAAATCATTTGACATAAGCAATTCTCATTTGAAAAGCATAGTGATATGTACTTAAGTTGCAAATTTTTGAAGCATCTCATATGTTGAATTCAGAATAAAATAAATAAAAACAAACGTTTTTCTAAAATGAAAACAAAAAAATCTAAACTTTAATGGACTATACGCGCAGGTTACTATAAACTTCATGTAAAAGAAAAACAATGCAGGGTTTTTTTTGTGTGTGTGTGAAATGCAGTTAGAGAGCTTTACAGCTTTACTCCTCAAATGGCTGTGAAGACCAGGGCTCGGCCAGTTCACAGACCTCAACCAGGGTTTCCCACGTGAGCACCAAGGGCTCAAACACTCGTGCCCCCTGCGCTGCCTTTCCAAGTACAACAGCAAGGAGCTAGACTGCAACCGGTGCTCACATAGATGCCTGTAGCATGTGGGCTCCTAATCTGGCTGCTCCACAGCATCACCTTCTAGGTGTAACTTTGTAAAGTTCCAATCATTAATGTCTCAGTTCTAAGTAATAAAAAAATTCCAAAAACCTATTCATGTAGGGAATCAATTTCTTGTAACTAAATTTTAGTATCTGTGCAACAAGCAAGTAGACTGTTGAAAAAAACTTAAGTCTACGAACCAATTTCAAGAAAGTTCTAGGTTTATAAAAGATGTTAAAAAGAAATAAAGAGAAAGATATATGTACCTATATTATTTAAAACCACCCTGGGCAGGAAATAACAGAGCGCGAGGTGAACTAAATCTCAAATCCAAGCTTGTTTGTTTCGCATAAAGTCAGGAAACAAGTGACAAACTGGGCAAAACTTGAAGCTTATGCAGATGTTAAGAACAAATTCACAAAAGGCCAACCAATCATAAAATGGACAAAAAAAATGAATAGCTATCATTGTCAATCCCACAAGTAGCTCAAATTGTCAACTTTAACTTCTCTGAAATTGAGATGAATTTTAAAACGCCTTACAAATGGGTGCCAGAGACCAACACTTTCAGAAGCAAGAGAAAGTTGGAGTTGATTCCAAATACACAAATGATTAGCAAATATAGGGAAATACGCTCCATTTCACACAAAAGAAATGCAAAATCAAACCATTATGAAACTTCCACTTAAGAGATTAAAAGATACAGCCTTACAATGCTCTGTGAACAAGAGCACTAAAGATACTCATCTCCCCTACTGATAGAAGAAAAAACACTATGGAGAGCATTTTGGTAAGAATGATAATAAAATGTAAGAATCCCCTTTGTAGGAAATTCATTTCACAGATATACATGTGTGAAAAAAATATCCAGAGAAGGTTAGCAGACACTACCGACCCCAGCAACTGTTTCTAATCGCAAAATTGAGCATCCATTAGTCAGACCAGAACCCAATCATAAATGTTGTGCAGCCATAAACGAGTGAAGTAACTTGACTGTTTTGCAACAAACCCAACACAAAATACAAGTGAAAGCAGCACAGGCCGAGCCGTGTGAACACCAGCTGAAATTTGCTCTGAAAGTCCAAGCCATGTTTTGCCATTCCAATACTGTCACATTTGGTAGCCTTTCAAACTAGCAGCTTTATCCTGACTTAACCAATCATGCTGATACATCCAAACTGCTTTATAAAATTCTAAAATTTGATTTAGCAAAACCAGAAGTTCCTGGTTACTATTTCAAAGGGACTGGGACTGCTTGAAGTAATTATATTTCCTGCTTTCCAAATGTTCTAGGAAAACATGAACTATAGAAAATGAGGATGAAGAAAAGTAACACACAATGGGTTTCCCTACTGATCTCTGACCTTGGAGTTATTCACCTGCTGTAATGCTCATTCAATGGAAGCATAGCAAAACAATTCATACAACAGTTATGTTCACTGGCCCTTGGTATTTGATCCAGGATCCCTAGCAGATACAAAAATCTCAAAATAGTATTTGTAAATAAACAGCATATGCATATCCTCCCATATACTCTAACTGTAGACTACTTAGAAAACATGTAAGAAAAACTGTTAGTTTTATTTACAGAACAAGTTAAATAAATAAATAAAAGGTTGCATATGTTCAGTACTGACATTTTCTTCCCCTAATATTTGAGGGCAACAGAGTAAAACCACTGTTTTCAAATTCAGATAGGGAAAATCAAGCCTATTCATAACTATTTTTGTTTAAACCCTTTACCTGTCCAATACTTTCTCAATGGCAACATCAAGGCAAAGAATGGCAAATCAAAACCAGTTTCAATTTCCCAGAAAACAGAACTACGATGTAAATGATCTTAAATTAACAAAGGATT